AGTCAGTTATTCGCACGAGTACCTTTAGATGATAATACGCAACCAACATAGCGAGCGAAACAATAGAATGAAGAGCAGCCAATAGCCTCATGACGTGAGCCATGTAGTAATAATCCTCGGATACTTCCACAAATTCCTGAGGCTCTTCGTCTTCTTCTTCGGAACCATTTTCACCGCTGCCACTACCTATTTCCATGCCACTACCTGCCAAACCCGATGCACCTTCGCCCGACATTTCCGCCAATAAATCCGCCATTCCTCCACTTCCTTCCTCATCCGAATCATCAGCCAAAGACGTAACCTGATTTAAAATCATAATATATATATTTATTTTGTACGAGTTTATAAAGTCTCAAACTTTAATTTATTATTTATGTAATACAAATTTAAAAAATGTATAAAACTTTTGCAAACCTTGTAGAAGAGTAGCATGAAATTGATGCAAAAAGCGAGAACCAGTGCGACATATTTCAGATTGTAAAAATTCCTGGCTAAGAAGGATACCACGCGATGACTGTACTCGGATAAATCGATACTTGATCCTGTAGAGGGTTCGGTCACGGTTTCTTGCTTTGCTTCAGCTTCAACTGCTGCCATGGCCGCTTGTTGAGCTGCTGCTGCTTCAGCCGTCGCGGCAGCTTGAGCTCGGGCCTGTTCTCCGCTGTAATAATGTTATATTGAAAAGTATTTGTTAAAATTTATTAAAATTATTTAAATGCAATGTAAGATGTGATGCGAGATTAAAAGTACCAATATAATAAAATATATTATTTTTTAATTAAAAGATATATAATATAACAAATCATAATCAGCAAAAAAAACGAACGCAATCGGGTGTGTTAACACTAAAAACCACTCAGGTGATGCATTCTTCCTCTCAACTCTCACTTCTTGGACTTCTCTGAGATACTGGTTTTCATGAACAAAAACTACAAAGCTGTCAAGCGTGTAATTTGTCTAGTGCAATCAAGTGTTGATAAAAATGTCAATAAATAAAAATAGGAAATTGATGTTAAAAAGTCAAGTAAAAAGCGCAAGAAAAATGTACGATGTCAACTAACAATGTTAAATATTCAGCTATCAAAGTTCATGCTATAAAGAGTTAAATAAGTAATGAGTTTAAAGTTACACATTTTTATACACAATAGATAGCATTTTAATTGTTGTTCATTCATTATCACATAAAATTTTACAATCGTTATCTTTAAATTCGGATTTATTTTGATTCGTTAGTTACACTAAAAATGATCTTAATTCAGCAAAATGTTTGTAAAAATGTTTTTAATACACAGTTATTACACACGTATAACTTGCATTTAGTTATTAGTTCATTTATCTTTTTATTTAGATTTGTTAAACTATTCGAATTTAATAAAATTTTAGTCGGATAAAATTTTTAATTAAAAAGTAAATAAAATAAATTTTTTATAAAGTGTAAAATATAAAACAAAATGTTTATAAAATTTATTTTACAAATTAAGCGACCGGTAGCGACGCTAATAACTTACCCGAGCAAATCAGCTAAAGTAACAGGTGCCTCACTGTCTCCTCCTTCAGCTCTCGCTCCTTCTTCACCAGCACCTTCATCGGGTGTACTTTCGCCCGTTTCTTCGATACTAGACTGTGGCGTAGAAGTGCTCGATTCATGCGGCGCTATCTTTATCTGTCCTCCTTCTTCTTTCGTTATATCCATTCCGAAGGCTTGCACCTATACGAATTTTTAAGACAACGTTTTTTAATATTGTACTATTACAGCGTAGATTATCGAGAAAATTGTACCTGTAAATTTGACTCATCTGGTGTTGGTGGCAGAGCAGGTAAATGTCTGAACGGTTTTTCCTCTTCTTCCTTGACGACAACAGGTTCATCCACATGTGGTCCTCTCATTAGTGTCAATAAAAGCTTCATAAAGTACTTAATTACACAGCCGACGCCAAAGCCAGAATAATAGAATGCATAAAAGATCATCTTGAAGAAGCCGATAAAGAGCTCAGGGATCGTCATTTGCTGCATCTCAGCAATTTTGTTCTTGATGTTGGTCGGCGAGAACATATAGAAGAAATAGTAAACACCATCTTTAAAGGCTTGTATACCTCGTCTGATCGGATCTTTATTTCTTTCTTCATCATCGTCGGTCATGTATGTGTATGAAGATTCCCTCGCTTTACCAATACCGCCACTCTCTTCGACTGTCATTAACGCGCTCGCATGTTGCATCTCAAAAATAGCGTCCTCGCAGAAATTGATGAAGGTCTCAAGCTTCTCCTTTTCGCCGGCCTCGACCACTGTGTTATAGAAGTAAGTTCTTTTCGATTCTTTGATCTGCGGCTTCTCCCACTGCTCAATGTTCGACTCTTTGATTTCGAAGTACACGCGCTCAATCTTCTTGTTGCCGCCAAGAATCTCGATTCTGCCCAAGAAAGGCTCGAAGTAGTTGAGGACGGAACCAGCGGTTTCGAGGAATTTAGCTAATCTGGGCTCGTTAGGCATATGCTCGGACAGATTGGTGAGCAATACAGCCAAATTGAAACCGATCTCCTTCGCCGGCTCGTGGAAACGATCCATGAAAGCGACGTAATCGATTTTGCCATCGTGATTGATCTCACAGCAGGTCAGCAGAAATTCAATCTCCTCGCTGAAAACATTTCGGTAAATTAAAATCCAGAATTGCTTTAACTTTAAGTAATTCAATTCAGAGAAAAAGTATCTTGTAAGCATACTTGGTGTAACTCTTTTGCTGCTCCATCTTTTCTTTAAAATCTTTAGGATACACCCAACCATCATTGTTAGCATCGATTTCCAAGAAACTCGGCGTTGATACAAGATCTTTCAGCTTTAAAAACATGTCGAAATACTTCAAGATCAGTTCCACGTTGCTAGCTGACTCGACTAAAGTGTCAACCATCTGTTTTCCGATAGTTCCGTTTACAACATTACCTTTAATTTGTATGAACGTTAATCAATCTCCGTCAATTTACGTGGAAAAAAATTTAAAGCATTTAAAACTTTAAGAACGCATACCTTCAAGCATAGAGAGCATCATGGTAATCATGTCTTTCTGCAAATTCAATAATTCCTTCAGAAGATCCACCTGACTAGAATGCTTCGATAATTTGTCCTGCATGTGCGAGAACAGGAAGAGGAAACCTCCGACCGCGTCCCACAATCTGGAGTGCGCTAAAGCTTGTTGATTCTGCGCACATGGACCTTGAATGACTTCAGTGAGTGTATTGAAAACTTGACTGGCAACGCCAATGGCTTTGAAAAAGTTTGCTTTGCCGGCAGGATCAATGAGTTCTTTGCTCGAATAATGCCAATAAAAGTCCATAATCGATTCCTGCAGTCGCAGCAGATAATCGACAGTACAAATTACCACATTTACTGTCGTCGTATTACCAGCCTGTGTCCTGAGATAGTTCTGCCAATCTAGTATGATAAAATAATAGATGTCACTCGATTGGATCCACCTTTCAATAGTGATAACGTCGTCAACTTACCGAGATTGTGGCCCTCGCAAGTAAGTTGGATGAAACGGAATAAAGCGCAAGTGAATTCAGCATCGTGCATATTTTTCTCGCCAGCTGCACCTTCGGAACCAACGCCAAGACCCTCGGCCTTCGTGTTTCTCTCGAAAGCGTCCAAGTCCAACACGCTGCAAGAATTCATTAAACCCGCGATGGACGTGAAGAAACCGACATCTTTCTTCTCCTTCAAATGGTTTAGCATTCCTCGTTGGATTTCAATATTGCCGCCACGTAAAATAGAAATTCCAAGCTCCAGAGTCTTCATCACCATTTCACTGGGTACACCCTTGCATGCCGATATATGCAGAAGAACCATCTCTGCGACGCCGCGATTTGCAAGACGAGCTTGGTGGAACAAAAGCTTCTGCTTTTCCATTTCTTGCTCCTATAATTATAAACATAATAAAGATAATATAAAAGAAGAAAATGCATATATAAATTTTACTCTTACATATAGAAAATATATAAACACACACAAAACATATAATATAATTTAACTGCATCAAAGTAATCTGACGATGATTGAAAAGATATGTCAAGTATAATATATAATATAAGGCACGTCTAAAATTTTATTTTAAAAAGTATCTATCGATTCAAATATGTATAAAAAACATTGACATATTAACATAAATAAAAAGAACATTTTTTTAAAAGCATTTCCAAAACTTAATTCATTAAAAGTAAATTTATAATATAGATTTTATTTTACATTACGAATGCATATTTACAATTTTATTTTATATTACAAATATATAAATGTAATACACATATATAAATATAAAAAACATACAAATATATAAATATAACACAATATCTCACCATTAGTTTATGCATAGTCCTCTTAAAAGTTAAAACAGAGAAAATACAATTTAATTATAATGTTAGTAAAAGATCAATGAAAGGAAAAACGATCGGAACAGTCTACAATGTTTGCTTGCTTATAAATGGTATTTTACATCGTTTTTTTGACTCTAATAAATAATAAATAACTTAAATTTAGGTGTCAAAAAATGTGAAGAACATATATAATTAAAATTTTGGATTGCGAGCATACATTAAGCGGATGGATTTTCGCACTAACTACTTATTCTTACCATAAGTAGCTTGTGCGCCGGCTTCTAGTAAATTAGAAAAGATAGGGTAGTTGTTAATTTATTAGAAAAATTTTATTTATCGAAGGATTTTATCAAAGGATTCAATTTTCTCACTAGAGTTATTATCTCTGTACAAATGAAAACTATTGATCAAAGACACTTACATGAATCGAAGCTCCACCTTCCTCCTCACCACCTCCGCCTTCTTCTTCACCTTCTTCTTCTTCCTCTCCACAAGATTTGGAAATAATCTGAGCATAACTCATATAAAGCGGATCTTCTTGAAGAGCACCCGACCGTTCGGTCATGGCACCACGACAGAAAGTCGTAACCAACTGTGTCAGCGGATCAGGCTTGCTTTCATCTTCGTCTTTATCCATTTTCTTCAATTCAGCATCTTCGAATGATTGCTAAAAAAGTACATAAAGTTATTATTTAAATTTTATATCTCTATTATATGTTTTATTGAATAAATTAATAACAATGGGAATAAGAATTACCGTGAGATCCTCAATCATAACTTCTTGTCCCACATTTTCATCTTGCAGCCATAACTCATAATATGTTCGCGCAAAAATATTTATTGCTCGATGCCTAAAAGAAAAGATTTATACAAATTTGTATTCAAATAGTTAAAAAAATTATCTTGAATATAGTAGAAATTAATTTACGTTAATCGCGTACCTTCTCAACTTATACAGAGGCTCACTACGCAAACATGCAATCGCTGCCCTTTTTCTGGCAGCGCACAACACGCGTTTCCATCCATCTCGCGATGGTGGTGGCTTTGTTGCCTGTTAGCGTTCACACAAACAGCAAGTACACTCATTAGATAATTAATTCTATCCTAGTTATTTCTGTTAATCATTGCAAATAGTATTAAATACTCGAAACTAACTAATTTTTACTGCCTGATAATTTCTTTTCTTGATCGACGAACAGTAAAATAGCTAATTAATTCAATAGAAATCAATTACACGAAACGCATTAACAATATTTAATAAAACTTAAAATAAAGATGATTCTAAATGATGTTAACAAAATATTTAATGATGCAATAATATCAAACTGCAACTAAATATTAGCAATCAACCGAAGCAAAAATATAACCAAATAGTAAGAAGGATACCTGGGCAAGGAATGTAGGGAAGTTTGGCGGAAACAAGCGATTACCGCTCGTTTACGTTGGAACGACACCACGGATCGGTATTGAGTCTTGCCTTGCTGTTGTGGATGATCTATCTACTCGAGAACATAAAGACAAGAAATGAATACGATGAATGCTTGTAATTACTAAAAAAAAAAAGAAAAATGATGATTCCTAGAAAACAACAGCGCTTTTAGCTTTCCAATGATTACAAAAACATGAATATTTAGCAAATAAAAAAACCGCACAGTCCGAAAATTCTTTTGAATAATTAAAATATTTAGAAAATTTTGAAAATTTCTATATAACAATATTAAATAATTCTGTGCTAACCATGTGTAAACCGTACAAGACTTTGGCCATATCGGTGATTCTAGCAACAACATCTTCCAATTGTTGAGCTTTGACAGGCTCTATCGCGTCTTTCTTTTGACCAAGTTTGGAATATAAATAATGCTGCCAAGACATTTCATCGGCAGGATCAATCTTATCCGGCAATGTCAACTGAGTCTTGGCGAATTCCGAGATCTCATATTCCGGCATCTTCTTCAAGAACCTGTCTTTGCAATGCTGTACTAATTCTTGTTCGCGACCAGCGAATAGATTCAAACCGACGGGTAGTAATCGCTTCAAGCAAGCGACCATTAATGAAGCTTGCACCTCCTTATCCTTATCTCTCTTCTTGTCACGATGCTTTTTCTTTTTCTGAAAGCCGAAGAAATATTTAATTGTTTAGTTTTCTGGCTTACGAGATAAATTTATATTAATTTTTTTATATATATATGTTTTATTTTTCTTTTAAATGCTATAAAATTTTGGTTTAAAACATTTTTCTATATTTTTTATAGTTATTTAACAGAAAGTTTCAAAACGTATCTATGTCATTCAAATTCAAAAAGTTAATGAATAAAATTAAATTATTATTAAATAATTTATACAAACTTTGCCTCCTCCAGAAGGCGCACTGCCGTCAGATACTGTAGTAGATCTTCTAGTTGCAGTAGGCATGATGAGCACCATATTGTCGATTTCATTTGCGGATATAAAGTTCTGTTCTTCGCGCAGAAAGTATTGCGACTTGGACCAGATGTTAAATATCGCCGCTACATTATTATACAGATCCTCAGCTTCGGCAATGTTGTTTCTCAGCCAATGATTTCTCTGAAGATCAACATATTTTATCAACAGAGGATAGAATGAATAAATATCGCGGACCAACAATTGCCAATCTTCTTGTATTTGTGCTTCAATTTGTGAGGTATCGTCGGCCGACGATTTGATGAAGCCACGGAGGGACTCCTCTTTGTGGAACATGTTGTCCGTTCGCTTTCTGACGCGTTCGGCGAGAGGTAGAAACGGGTCCTTCAGCAATTCCTCGGACGAATTGATGATGATTTGCTGCGTGTAGGCGGCAATGCGCGTCATCCACGGCGCGTTCTCGTTGCCAATGTTTTTCTTAATCAGCTTCAGCACGTTTTTCAGCAACTGATTCATGTGATCGCTAGTGACCATGCTAACATAAGTGCCCTCAGTAGGATTCACATTGTCGGGTCCTTGAGCCCACCAGAATGGCAAGTACGAACAGAGCAGAGGAAGAATCACGTCGACGATGTGGGGAGCGTCATTGTAGGTTTTCTCGGACTCAACGAATTGATCAACTTCACTGAGAATAGTCTCCAAAGTCGGCATGCTCGATTCCATCTTTGTCATAATGTCTTGCGCTTCGAGAGAATGATCCGCGATTCGATTTAGAAGAGAGAACTGATTGTGCTTATTCAAGTGCGGTTCAAAGAAGGCCACCGGGAAGCAGCTTGAAAAGGCACCCAGACAGGAGCCCAGATTAGGTTTGTGTCGCTCGATCTCAGTCTTTAGATACTTTCTGTCATGCGTCAGACTAGCGTCCGTGCCGAGAGTGTACAGAGACGCCAACATTTTGTACGATGCTACTTGAATTTCGTCAACTGCGGCAAAGAGGATATTAAATAACAATTGATCAAATTGAAATTGTATCGAATTTAATGATTTAAGTACTTACGTAACAAGTCGCTGCCATATTCACATGCAGCAAGATGATCAAACATCGCAGTGAGCACTGGCAGAATTACGCTGTTGATGTACGATAATGACGTGGACGTTTTCAAATGGGTGCCTCTGAGATGGCTGTACTTTCCCTCTTGAAGATTCAAGATTGTATGGCCCAGATCATCAGCAGTGTTGTTGAAAAAGGTCAACATGGACGTTCTGATGAATTCCGGACAGTTCTTTACGAGACTCTTGGCGTCTATGCCTTTCACGAGCACTTGCAGACAACGCACCGTTATTCTCACATCCGCGCCAAAGGCGGCAAGTCGCGATCGCAACAAACTCGCCAGTTTACAGAAGAGAGCGGCCACCATCTCCTTCTCCTTCAAGGACGCTGCGCCGACGTTGTTCGTGGCAGTGGCAACAGCGATAAAATAATTTCTATGCGTGCTGAAGTACTTTTCCATCAGTGGCAAAACCACTTTACTGAAGAATTTGATGTCCCTTGTGGAAGTCTTGAAACTGTTTCTTCGGCTGAACGTATCGGAAGGTCTTAGTAGCTTCATGTTAATCGTTGCTTTGTCCAAATAAGCTATCAGCTTCTCCAACAATGAGTAAGCGAATCTCAGCTCCACCGCAGCAGCGGCGCCAGCCACTTCGGTTTCACCGCCGCGATTAGGTTTGTGAAGCTTATAGCCTTGATACTGTAGGTACTTGAGAAATTCCTGCGATCGCTCACGATCCTTCCGTTTCTCCTTGTCGGTCAACAGATCGTAAGGTACCAGCTGAGGATGAATACCACCTCCTGTAATCACGAAATATTTTCAGGCAATACATTAATTTACATTTGATTGGCAAAATTTTAATTTTAATAAAAAATTGAAAAATAGAAAATAAATATTTGAGCTAACCGCAAGTCATGAGTTCTTCTTTCTTCTTCTTCGCCCAAATATCGTGAGCGTTATCCGCTAAACGTTCGGCCATGTTCTGCATTTCCCTGCTCAGTGTTAGATTAGTCATGTCCACCGGATGAGGATTGTAATTAAATGGACTTGCAGAATCGCCCTATTTATTTGAAAATATTCAAATGTATGATTTGTTTTACGAACAAACACATAATGAATTTTATGTGTAATTTCTTACTTGACTTTTGGAAGACCTTCTCATTGAGCTGCGATTCGTCGAAGGCACATCGACCTCTGCATGTTCCACACTCCAGCCAATCGCTAAGAGAGCTTTCAAGCTTTCTCTAACAGGCTCCTTGTATCGTTCTCGTTCATAATCACTCAACATGTTGTACGGTTTCAATCTCGGGTGAGTTTTATTCACGTCCGACCACTGATCGCCGTACGTCCAACCATTTTCTAACTTGCGACTGGCCCAAGCGTCGTGATAATGCTCAGAGAACTTTTGTACTATTTGATTAAGATCATTATTCAACACCACGCTGAAAAATTACAAAATATTAAATATCTAAAGTATAGTTCTCTCAGATTTTGGTATTGTTAATTTTTTTTCATATAACTGGTATAATTATTGAAATTTTGTAACTAAAAATCAATAATTAATAACCTGGATGTGTTGATTGGTTGCGGATTGTAAGGTCCGTCGGGTGATTGCGCTGAGGCCGATTTGCTGCCGTACCACTCGTCGTCATAATTTTTCGATAAAGAATAATCTGGCGGTAAGGCGCAACCAATAGCGGTTAAGCAAGGCAGCGCTTTTCCGAATAATTCTGGATCATAATCCATCTTAGACAAGGAATCGAATATATTGCTGAAGAGGACCATTGTGAGACGTTTCTCTTCGTCGCTTGAACCTTGTCCGCCAGTAGAGCCATAATATTTTGCGCAACGATCGTAATGCAGCGTCAACAACTACACGATAAAGAAAATTATAATGTTAATAATTCATATTGACAAACTTGTATAGCAAATATTAATTTTTAACAAAATAAAAGAATGAGAAAATAATTCATAAATTGAATAATCGACGTACTCTGAGAGCAACGGTGGTGTATTCCGACAATTGGGACACGTCAACAGTTAATTTTCGCAGTAACTTCAGCAACATGCTCGGTTGCATTTGGCTGCAAGAAAGATTAAAATTAATTCTTAAAATAAAATTTACGAGTGGATGGAAAATATATATTACGATAATGTTATATAAAATTGAATAATTAAGAAAACAACTATTCTTAATCTAAATAAGTGTCAGCTATTTATTTTAATAATAGCTGTGGAATTTATAAAACGTTTAACATGTGACTTTTTCTTGAAGATCAGCAAAAATATTGGTTCCATAAACTTTGATAACGTTGTAGAAATTCTTCGTTTACCTGGTCAATGCGACAAGGAAGTCCGAGACAGCTTCGCGTTGGCCTTTCGTCAGCATCCGGTTCTTACTTAATCGGTAGACTGTATGCAACGTAGCATCGAGTAAACTTGCATAGTTATCCGCTTCGTTGTAAAATTTGGAATGCTTGATCAGTAACGGCAGAATGCTATTTCCAATGTAGCGGTTCATGGCGAGTGCCATGTCAGATTCGTAACCGTCGTTCTGCGCCAAATTAAATTGGAATGTATTAAAAAAAAGGAATGTATAAAACAAACTGAATATTAGTTTGTCCAATATTATTTTCAAATAAAAATTCCTCGTCACTTTCTTATCATTTTAAAATAATCCTTACTCTATCGAGCATGGTAGCGGCGCGGAGATCTGGTAGGAAAGCTTCCTCCAATATCTTGTAGAACAATTCCTGCGTTTCGATACCGTAAACACGTTCGAGAAACAGCACAATGCTTTGCTTGTGTCCTGGTATTAAGCCGGACGGCGTGTCGCTTTTCGGTCGTTCTTCGCCGGCGGCGGGATTGAGCAAGGTAAATCGCAGAGATAAAACACCCTGAAGATCATCCAGAGGCACTAGTGATCTCAAGATTGCCCGAGCTCGAAGAGATTCGTTTTTTCCTGAAATAATTATGTAGCTTTAGACAAACGAGATTGTTGGATATTAATTTTATCAAAGCAAATCGTATATTACCAACGGATTTTGTAGAAGCCTCTGTTGGTCATTAAGAAAAAAATAAACACTATTATTATACGATTCTATAATTCATTGCACTTTGCATGTAATGAAACTTTAGACGATTATATATTATGAAGAATACACGTGCGATGAAAGTGCAAGATATGACTTTATTTAAAAATATAAATGTTGAGGGAAAAATTTATTTATAATTATGAAATAAAATATTTATTATGTTCTTTGATATATTATTTCACCATCCAGCACATGCATACACATACCATTTCAGATTGAAAGAAAATGTATTACATTTATTATCAAATATTATTTCATGAATTTAAAATGCAACGAGCATAACTGTTATTGTAAATTTTGTATTGTAATAAAAATTTGTACTATTTTACCTTGTTCTATAACGGAAGAATCCGGAGCACAGCGACCTAATAGATCGACGAGGGTGCAATAGAAATTCAACATAGCCGCGCCCGTATCTATGTAGTCCTCATCGTCATCTGATTCCGGAAGTGGATGTTCGAATTGCAATACCATAGCTGTGCCTTCTGCCTCGTCATGTACCTGTGTGAGGTACTAAGTTGATACCGTATTAATGACGGATCAGGTACATGCGTAATATGGGGAATTTAATTTTTAATTGTGGCATAGTCATATCTTATGCCACATTTAATAGACTTAATTTGTCTTCAAAAGTTCTATTGCATGTGGGTAATCAATTTTGGGGATCTAATTAATCTTGGAGATCAAATTAATCTTGTGTCTCATTATAAAGCACATTAAAATACAATAAAGTCAATCAAATCACACGAATTTTGAGGATAAAACAGCAAAGGGGCCAAATAAATTTTGGAACTAAATTAATCGGACTAAATCAGTGTAATCGATTTAATTAAATCAAAATTGGGGAGTTAATTATTTAAAAACATCTAAGAATCTATATTCACAAATCTTTGGGAATGTGCAAAATACACTATATAAACAGCAATCAAAAGAACTGTTTCTTACTTACAAAATAATCCGATTATAATTCTGCGTTTTGCGATCAATTGAATAAATTGTAATGTCAGCAGAACTTACTTTTCGTCTATCGGCAATACGCTCGGACATCTTATTAGCTTCTATTATAGCTCTCAATAGACCTTCGCCCTCACCACGAAGAGCAGGACCTAAACATTCTGGTCTTCTGATTAGCAAACGAATAACCAAATTAGCATTTTCTTCTACACTTTCACCTGAAAGAAAGAAATCACAGATTAAAATGTTTGCAAAAATGAAATAAATAAAATAAATAAAATAAATGAAATAAATGAAATAAATGAAATAAATGAAATAAATGAAATAAATGAAATAAATGAAATAAATGAAATAAATGAAATAAATGAAATAAATGAAATAAATGAAATAAATGAAATAAATAAAATAAATAAAGATGGCGAAATTTACCATTGACCCATACGCAGAATCTCAGGAAATCGAGATAACGTTCGCCCTCGACAGGATCCCAACCCAAATCAGGATAGCCTTTTTCTACTAATTCTGAATTAGACTGCAGACCGCATCGCGACAAATAAACAGCGATCTTCTCCAGATAATGTTCTCTCAAGGCCAGAGCCAATTCGGTATTCTCCATCAACGACGAGTACGCCACGTCTAAAGGCGTCGAGCCTCGCAGCGAAGGCCTGGCCAGCAGGATATTGCTATTCTCCAAAAGAAAGTCAAAGTGATCGAACATGGCCTTCTGATTTTGTCTGGATGTACGACAGAAGTAACAGAGAAATCTGCAGCAGGCTACAACCATCTCGTGAGACGTATCTTTCTCTTTCGACGCTGGTTCCCCTTCGGTCGCTTGAGCCTGAGTTTGAGCGTCAGATTGCGCCTGAGAACGTCTTCCCAAAGTGTTAATCATAATAGCCATTACATTCTCGTGGATTCTCAGCACTCTAATGAGATCGGGATGTTGGAAGAAGGTATGATTGTTCACCAATTTCCACAGTCTTTCGCGGACCAATTCCTCTTCCTCCTGTGACATCTGTACTGGCAACAAGGCGCGAATTTGGCTTAAGCCGATCCACATTAGTGCGACATCATCTTTGGTTTTGTTATTGACGACATAAGTCTTCTCCAGAGCTCTAATCAACTCGCCCACAGTGTCATATTGTCTGACTAACAAGCTGAACATTTCTCGCACGAGTTTCGGCGTTTCGATCTGCGATTCCTCGGCCCAACTTACAATAGTCGATATCAACACCTTGCGGAAGACCTCTGTAAGAAAAATGTCAAATAAATTTAATTGTTTACTATACATATACATTAATTGCAAGATTCAAGACAAAAAGTTTAAAGCTTACCTTCGGGAGTCTTTTTCACGGGTTCGGGTTCGGGTTTGGGTTCCTCTTCGAGTTCCTTGACGGCATTGATGAAATTAAAAAGGCGTTTCATAGCGCCAGGCTTTTGAACTTCTTCAGTTTCCTCATTGGCAGCATTGGCTGCTTCCTGAAGAGCCGTTAAAGACACATAGGACATTAGCTCGCCGTGGAACTCGTTCATTTTTCCAATCAAATCTTCGCCGCAAGGAACATTGTCCGGATCTTCCTCGGGATCAAAATTCTTGAAGCTCAAAATAGCGTTCATCTGTTCACGCGGAGGACATCTGAATTCTCTGGTTTTCTTGGCAGCAACAGCCGACGGTAAGTCCGACTGCTTGATCTCGATGTAACGACGCAATTGATCCGCCTGCAATTCTCCGACGAAATCCGAAGCAAAGGCGACAATCGACTCGACACGATGACGTAATTGAACGTCGTTCAAATGATGAAGCAAATAGCACATTTGCAGCTTAGCTCCCTCAGCCATTTTCATATGCAGTAAGCCTTTCTTATGCTCGTCCTTTCCTTCTACAATGTTTTAATATCGCCAAATTAAAAATACGCTCTTTATTTATTAATATTAGGATCAAATATTTTTTTTAAACAACACTTTTTTCATTGATTTACCTTTATCAAAAGTCAGATCCCAAGTTTCAGGATTTACCATGATGAGCAATTTGATTATATCCTCGTTTCTCAGCATGCCCACTAAGAGCAGTCTATCTACCAGCTTTAGAAGAGGTCTGTAATGTCAAAATTGTATCAAGAAATATTCGATTAATGAGTGAAACGCCTTAAGCGATAAGCAGAAAGTCAAAAATTCCTGTTCAAGAAATAGCGAAACAAATTTGCTCGTTTCGTTTTTCCGTTTAAATATTCGAAATGAACACGATGATTATCGTTCCTCCGGTAAACATTGATGAAGAGCATTAAATGCGGCAACTGCAGCAGCAGCGGAATTTATTATCTTACATACAGGAAAAGATTTTCATTGCTGCCTCCAATCGGATCCCGATTGTGCACTTGATTCACTTCGACAGCTTCGTTGAGTGCCATCATCACGTAATCCCGTACAACGTCGAGCGGGAAGTGCGGGCTATACAGGCTTCGTATATTCTCGATCACTTGATCACTAGAAGGAATATCCCTTGATGGCGGCCGATTAGTAGGGGTCTCACATCTACATGGGAAAAAGTTTTACTTACCTTATTTCTGTCATCTTCATCTGTGGTTGGATAGATTCGGTTTCCAAATATCTGAGACTGTGTCTCATCTCAAAATTTTCGTACAAGTCCTTCAATTCTTGACCTACGTAATAAACAAATAATTACATTGTAATGAAATATAAAAATTATCATATTTTGATAGGGAAGATAAAAAGGATTTAAGGTAAAAATAAAGAATAAAGGACTAGTGATCCTCCCAGTGATCTTGACCTTGACATATGTTATCAAGGTCCTTCAGAGTAACAAAAAAAGGTTTTAGCCGGTCATTGTTAATTAAAAAGTTCCTCCTCCATCCACGTGTTTAACTTGCCATGTTTAAATAAATAAATTTGCTAAGAATACATTCTATTAAATGTACATGGTGTCAGAAAATTATGTTCTATTCGATAAACTTCTTTTGTTAATAACTTTTTAATAAACAATAACCGCCGATTAAAACTTTTGTTTGTTATTCTTGACCAACATATGTCAAGATTAAGGTCATTAAAAGGTAATCCTTTATTCGTAATTTTTATCAACTAAAAAATATTCCAAATTATTTTCCGAAAATTTCAACTTGTAACTCTAATGTTTTAAGTATACAAATTTTCCAATTTCAGAAATAAGTTCTTACCAAGTGGTATTATATATTCGTTTTTGCACACTTCCATCGTTGTCGCGTGGGACTCAAGATGCAGAGCAATAAGTAAATCGTAAAATCCTTGTCGCAGGGGCCCGGACATATATTCAGCTCGTATCGCGTATAACAATTGTTTCTGATCAACGTGTTGGCACAGAGCGTGCGCCGCTCGGTAATTCGATTGATAGCACAAAGCTGCATACAACGTGAGTGTGTGCGCGTGGAAACTACGCAAGTATAAATTATTTTATAAATATAAAAAACATACAATATGTAAGGAATATAAGAAATTCAGAGAAGAAAAAGATTTTGTCAATTTTTGGCTGTAAATTTTTTTAATGCTTCTCACCTGAGAAGCTTATCCATTTCAATGAGCTCTAGAATATCGATGCACCTGTCTTCCTCGGGAATATGAAGAGCTAGCATCGAAATAGCGTCCTCGCACAGCATAGACCAACCTCTAATGTCTGACAGCTTCAGGGCATGCACTTGAAGAGATTGATTGGGCACTCTGGCCCATTGATGCGGCTTAAGGCATTGCACTTTCAATCTGGGCGGAAATTGCGGTATCACATGTCGGTCCGAATTCTGCAGCACGGCGGCTGAAAGCGGGAGCGTCATCGAAGTCCTGCCGAGTTCGATTTGCAAGATCTCCTTGCTAGTTGCTTCGACGAAGATCGCCGGGAACAACTTTGTGTCCGGTTCCATTTTGAACTTGTGACTCGTTTCCTTTCCTTCGCAAGTGAAGGACACCAAGCCCGTAGCGGTATCGACGAAGCATCCGACGAACATGCCCTGAGACGCGCCCTTGCCCGACGCGTCTTGAGTGACTTCATTATACAACTCGTCCGCTCGAATCATGTAACAGCTTTGTCTGTCGACTCTGCAATGTTGTAACGTGTTGTTTTTTAGGCGAGCGCTTTGTACAATTGTGCTTTTATGTTATATATATATATATATATATATAATTAAACTTACTTGTTCCGCGAGACGATCGTACTCGTCCATGATAGCAACGGAGACTTTTCTCACACGAGACAAATTAAATTCCTTTGTATGAAAGTGATACTGCGAAGTAACCCAACCAACATAAACATGAGTCGGATCTTGACCAGGAAATACTCTAACTCCGTAGAAGTACTCGTTCATTAACTTCATACAATCAGCGTCAAAGATTTCATTACCGATCGCTTCGACGCCACTTCCGCTTAAAACGGACATCGACTTGGGAACATTACGCTCCGGGATTTGGGGCGGCACGACTTTCAAGTCCGTCTGCACAAAGACAGATTTTTGAAAAACTTCAGAAAACATTTAAATTAAAATGTTCTTGTTTTCATAAAATTATATTTTTAAAGACTTTTGTACTGATTGTGTTACGTACACAAAATATTTTTTAATTAAACACATCAAACTAAACAACATTTTCAAAGAAAATAGTTTTTATTCAAACTATAATACATAATAATGCAATATACACTTACCGTTGAAACACGAACTTGAGGAGGTTTGGCACTTTTGCTTCCCGATGTTTTCGTACTTTTATCCGAGACATCTGAGCGAACCTGCGGCTCGGGCGTTTTCGATTTTGCGTCCGGTGACTTCGCCTTACGCGAGAAGAACCTGCGCATGCAATAAAAATCAATTAATAAACTAGTTAAGTAAAATAAATAATTATTTATATAATCACTAAACGAAAGATTATAAATCAAGTGTTATTAAAGTAAATATTATAATGATAGTATCGCTAGAAATATCTCAACTTACGGCATATCCTCCATCTCTTTGCTAAGCTTGCTGACAAAGTCAAAGTACCGAAATCAATTTGTCTTTTACAATATTTATTAGAGATAATAGTCGTTAATGATTCGTGCTTACCGGAAAGGCGAACGACCGCGTTTCTTCTTATCATCCTTTACTTCACCGTTCATCTCGCCGTAGCCATTCATCTCGGCGTCACTGATTGCGTTGTCTAATTGTAAATGCGATCCATAAAGTGAACCTTTCCTGGGTGGCCTAGTAGGTTTGCCTCTTTGCATAGGAAGCGGTGACTCTTTTAACATCTCGTCTGCCTCAACTGCATCTTCTGAATAATTTCTTTGCAATCCTGTTCAAGACCATAATTAAATTTATTATTGACATTAGTAATACTATATTTTTATAATGTTAAAATATAATATTATTGAATTAAAAACATTGTAATATCAAATTAAATAATTTTATCCAAAAATCGTAATCCGCGTTCTCGATTTATATCACAAAACATGATAAAAATATATACATTAAACTGACATTTTTTGAATTATTACCTTTAATATCACTCATACTGAAACCGGATTTCATGATTTGTTCCAAGTGAGCTGACGGTGCAGCTTGCTGTGCAGCTTGCTCAACCTGTTCGGCCAGAAGTCTGTTCTGTCGCATTTTGATTTCCTGCCACCTTCGCAGTTTTTCATTCTCCGTTACGAAACTAGACTGACAAATCACGGGTAGCGACAATCTCAGAAATTCCCAATTAGCTTTCTCCATAGTCTCGAATGTGTTGTGAGAGATTTTCAGACACGGTGGCGTGTCAGAACCTGCTGGTATTCTAGCCACGTCGATTCGCGTATCAGCCATATCATCGGTATTCTCGAAAATCGGTTGATCTTTTGTGTACCAGTAAGTGACTAAACGATTCATATTCCTGTAGTACAAAAATAAATGGAAATTTTTAACAAATTATTGACTTTCTATCACATGCCGTATTCGAGACATTTTAATTAAAAATTTTTTAATTAACTTTCACTAAAATTACTCACACGCAGAATGGTTCGTAGCCTTCTTGCAAACCACAGGTGGTGAAAAACTTCAGAGTGTTCACATCCTGGCCGAACGTTAATTTTGCCTTTTGGCCGACTCCGAGAGTGAATGCGGGTACGAAAGATTCACCTTGCACGTCGGCGAAAGAAGTTTCGCCGCCGAGTGCATCCATCAGTAATTCTCCATTCAAGGAGAAACCTGCATAATTTGCAAATTTGTACCGCAATCCACTTGCATGAAACATTGCAATAGTCGAGACGAATGATGGACAAACAAAACATAATGTAGTAGAAAATTGTAGAATACAAAACACATAACTAACAAATGATTCTATTCGTTCGAAAATTTACTAAACTGCCAAACATTCGTTTTGCAAACAAAACAAAAATCCAATATCGAACAACTAGGTGATATATAATCATTACAATTCGCGAATGTTACATGATATATAATAAAATATTTTTAAAAAATTTATGATTCCGTCGTATAAGCAATATCCGTACAAATATAATAAAATTCTTAACAGTTAGTTAAAAATATTCAAAATACGATGCATACAATTACGGCAAAGCAGATAGTTCAAATAATGGGTCGTGTGAATCAAATTAAACAAAGACTTCTTTAAATAAAGTCTTTAATATGCTTCATGAAAAATATGAATAGAAATATTAAAATATTCAATTAAGCTCATTTTAGACGATCTATAATTGATGACAAAATTTAAAATAAAAATTTATTTATAATTGGAAACTCGTTTTAAATAATCTATAATTTGCGAGAATTTGAAATAGAATTCTATTTATAATGTAACGCAATAAAAAACATTTAAATGTTTAGAATATTCATATATAAAATACATACACTGATATATTTTAAATATAACTGTATTTAGATTTTTTAAATGTTTTTATATTACACAAATTATATGAAATTATAAATAGAATTTTATCTCAAATTATAAATCGTCCGAAATAAGCTTTTTACTCAAAGTTAAAGCAAATAGATATTTATTTTCATTTATTCGACCCATTAATACAAATTCAGACAGACTATGCATGCAAGCAATATTATTTGAAGGAGGTGTAATGAAAACCAAATATATGTGTAATATTATCACACATGGACGATACAATAAAATAATAAATCTTACGATAAAAAAAAATAAAAACAAAATATAGATATACAGCCGAGATAAAAAAACAAAAATTATAAAACGAGAAAATATATATATATATATATATCGATTTTATCTGGAAGGTTTTCCTCTATACTTTTTCTTCGATTTTGATACAATTTAATTTGCAATAAGTTGTGTAGTTAATAGTGATTTGTAAATTGAATATACGCTGTGATGTATATATAATACTTTCCAAAGTTTCTTTGCGTTTGTGCTCATACAAAGATTGTTAATAGAAGATCGATATTGTTCTTGAGAATTTCTGTTTCAGAACACACATGATATGATCGATATAATATTATATTTGGGGTCACCCTAGTGTTAGTAATTAGTAGATATGAATTATGAAAGCACTGTTGTCGCTGACAGTATAAATACTGAATAGAGTACTGGATACCAGAGATAATGAAGACATTAGACAGACATGATTTTTATCGCGATCGAGAAATGGAATTATTAATGATGATAAAAAAACAAACCAGGACTGTTTCTGGTTTTTGTGATTAATTCCAACTTGTTAAGATGACAATGTGACGAGATGAAATATTTTTCACGCAAAATATGTATGATCACTCCTTTTGTTCAAACAACCATTGCATTGGAGTTTTGTCCTTGAAAGTTTAAACGCAATGATGCTTTTCCTCGAAATATGTAGCGCGAAAATTTTGCCAAACGTCCAGTTAGACAACGAATGATCCTAAAGTCACGATCGCATTCTGCATTAAACATTATTTAAATTTTATGCATCGACAATTTTTGTTTCATTCTTATAGTGTGTACATGTTTGCGTTTCATATAACATATGTATAATTAGTTTAATTCGATTAATATTAAAAGTAGACTAACTATGCAACGCGAATCTCAAAAAACCAGTGTGTGGTTGAGATTGTGTTAAAAGTCGCAATATCTGTATCCAGTAATCTATCTCCAAAGATCAAATTATATATAGCTTGAAATGGCAGCTGAAGCGTTCGCTTAAAAATTCCGTCTTACTAATCGTTCGGTCAATCAGATCCAGGAAAACACCGACAACGTCTCCGACCTGCCATTGTTTGCCGAACGTTTCGGCCGAGCCCGAGTATACTTTTTCCTCCTTTAAAACAAAACGTTCACCAATTCAGCATTTCTGTTCGTGAAGATCGGGACAGACCGGCAAACGAGATACACTATTTTGCCTGTGGTGGGTCTGGGATACCTTGTATATATTTGTCATCCATCGCTATTGATGTATACCTTTGTGCGCACATTGTGCAAATTTCGGCACAGTGCAAAAGTTAAAAAAAATATTACAAGAAATTTTCGCGGATTTTTTCCCCGACATCGATGAAGGTCAAGCCACACTTCGCCGAATGAAATTTTACCAGCGATTTCATTCGTTTTGGGACAAGGATGCAAGATATAAAACCAAATCAACATGAATGAAACATAGAGCGAGACAAAGACAATAGTAGTGACGAGAAAACTCAGGAAAAGAAAGATTTGTATAATATAGGGTCTTTAAGATCGGCTAATTTGGGAAATGAGGCTCTTACTGATTGTTCGGTCTGCCACGTCAATGAAACATCCAATTATGTCGCCCACTTGATATTTGTGACCAAATGACTCGTGAGTGCCAGCGTGTATTTTAGTCACCTGACATTCATGTTTTCATGGATTATTCATATTTTCTAAATTGCGGACGAGAGCCACGTAGTACTTATACTAATATTACGTTTATCAAAACAAGAGCCATCGTATATATATATCGCACGCAGTTCTGGTTGATATTTTTATTCGTGAATAAAATAGAATTTAAGCACATTCTCACCTTTTATGGCTATAATAATTCAAATTTAATAAAAAATATAAACTAAAACTAAAAATATCTCTACGATATAGTTGTAATAAAAGATTATAATAGAAGACAGCATTGACATTTTAGAATTAAAGTTGCAAATTAAAAATATGTAATTTCTATATTGTTTATTCAATATTTATAATTTAAAATTGAAGATTTGATTTTTTAACAATACCAAAATATGTTTTTAATAATTAAAAAAATTACTTTAGCAATTTTTATCAAATCTCATCCTAATTCTAGTTATTAGATTACAGAAACGATATCGATACTCACATTATAACCATCGAATGCCCAAGTACTTTCGTCGCTGCCCAGCATACTTCCTGGCATGCAATCGGCTTTCGCCCAACCAACTCGCATCGGTCCGGCTGTGAGAACTTCGAACTCGAAATACCATTTTCCGTTGCTGACCGCGTAATGCTTCTCGACCCTGTAAGTCCTGAAGGATAATTGTCGTAATCTGCTGGCCTCCAAAAGCAATGCTATAAATACCAGAAAATAAATAATTATTAATATGCATAATTGATTAAAAAATATGTTTAAACAAGAAAATGCCAAATTAGAATTAATTTTGAATACAACTAAATTCTGTCAAACATTTAGCTCAAATAAAAAAAAAAAAACTTGGAAATTAATTTATTATTAATTTACAGACAGCAGCCCATTAATTATTGTAAACAATAATTGGTATTATCACCAGTAATATCTTATTAAATATACGTTTCGTAGACTTAAAAATAATATAAAACTGTTTCTGATAAGATACAAAAATCTGCTTTAAATAAACGCGAGTATATTTAATGAAAATTAAAAGTCTCACCCTCGTGCTGCTCTCCAGTGGGCGGATCAAGCATATATCCATAAACTAATAAAGTCCTAACAGTTTCGCTGGCCGTGTCTCGATTGGCCTTCTTGATAGCTTCGTCGACCTTTGGATATGGTACTAAATGAGGACTTCTCCTCATTTCCGAGTCTTCGTTCAATCCGTACGTCCACCCTTGGCTGATTCTCTCTTTCGCCCAGAGATTATGCGTGTTCTCCGCAAGTTGATCAACGAGCTCTTCCATCTTGGGAGTCAGTGTGATCGCAGACAGATCGAGCGGCGCTGGCTTGTAGCCGCTGCTTTGCAGAAATGGCTCGTTCGGCAGACGCAACGTTTTTATTCTGGAAGGCGGTTTGTCCATAGTGATATAATAGCCCAGAGCCAGAACGGTCTTGAGAGTCTGCACGGCTAATTGAGTGTCATAACGCTTCTCCGCGGCCGGCAGTCGCTCGAACTGGACTATGCAGGGATGTATTTTCCTAAGATCATCTCTGACCTCGCCGTAAATCCAACCGGCTTCGATTTTGTTCATCGCCCACATCTCATGGATGTTTTCTGCCAGTTTATCTCTAATTTGCTCGACGTAGGCGGGTAGATTGACCATAGAAGTGTCGACCGGCGCTGGAACGAAGGCGGTATCGTCCTCGACCAGCCACGGACCCGCCAGAACCACCTTGTTCATGTTGCCGAAATAGAAACACGGATCCAACGATAAAATCTGCTGCGGCAATAAGCTCTCTACTAACGGTGAAAACTCCTCCGGCGGCTGGAACTTCAGTCGACCGTGATCGCCGCCTAACAGAAATCTACACGAAAGTTTGGACGAGCAGCTGATAGCAGGAAAAAACATGCCATCCAGATTGAAATTCCGGAAAGAGCCCATGATGCGAGTACCATTGAAAGTGAATGTTATCACCGGCACTGTCAGATCCAAGGCACAACCGATTACATCGCTCTTCCTGATATAAGGCTCGGTGGCGTTCTGGACAACTTGCGTTTTCCTACCGCCGGTCCACAGATAAGCACCATCGAATCCGAACGAGTACAAGTCATCGCCCACGCCATTCCCGCCCCATTTCTCGCCTCCGCCGGGATACGGCATGTAGCTGTTGACAAAAAATAATGCAACGTTTGCGTATAATATACGTACGAATAGCGTGTGGAAAAAATGTAAATTTCAATTTAAAAAAACATATGCATATAATTACTTTGGAAAATATGATATTATTTCTTTTTTAATTTTGGCAGTCTAAATATAAATAGTATAATTTACCCAGCAGTATTCGCCCATCCGATTCTCAAGTGCGGCATCATGTGGGTTGTTTGCTCGATATGATCCACAGTCACCTCAAAATACCACTTTTGATAAAGAGCTGAGCCCTCCACTCTGCCGACGAATATATTCGGTCTGACGCTGGCCACATGGTCTACCAGTTGCGTCTGCAGAAGCAGATTTTTTCCCGGTAGCAGAAAATCACAAATATTGTTCTGCGATGAACGCACTGCGACTCCGTTACCGACGCATAATGAGCACAGAACGTCCAAGACTTTCGGATCCCTGCCGTGTTTCTCCAGTAAAGAAATAATTATTTTTATGTGCTCATCCTAAAAAATCAAATTTATAAGTTAAAAAGTTTTAATTTTTTAGAGGTTTAAGTAACAAAAGTACATTTCGCTCAATCATCATTATTCGATCAAATTAAATTTATTATAAATTTCATTTATTTTGTAAGAATCTTGTTTTCAAGAATATCATACTTTGCTAAACGGCTACTCTAATAATAAAAAAAAAATGACGCGGTACCCTCATCATGTTTAAAGCTTCCGGCGAATCAATTAAAACGCAGTGAAGCACATCCAACATTCCAGTTCCCTCACTGGAAGCTTGTGAGCCTAGTCGGCTAAACAGCCAGTTGAGACGATTGCTGTTAGCAAACTGGGCACAGTTCGTGTGATTTCCCTTAATGATAGCCGCCAGCAACTGGTAGAGGTATCCGGATATCTGATCCCAAGCCTGGCCGCTCTCATCGCCGGATAAAGCAACGAGAAATCCTTGCGAAGTGATCACATTAATCTTATCAATGGCTTCGAGAATAAGATTCAGTATACCCTCTTCTTGAAACAAATCCTGACGATTTCTGAGAGCTCGGAACTTGTTCTGTCTTTTCTTCGTGTTCTGTGGGAAATCTATAGTTAATGACACATTCTAAAAAAACACGTAAAAAAAGGGCGCATATGTTTTTTCTTACCCATGTCATCTTCGGGTTGAGCAAAATAATTGATCAGGTCCTCGAGACACATTACCATCTCGTTGAGGTTTACATTTTGAAAGAACATGGACGCTCTTCTGTTCACTTGAAGTGTTTCTAGGCCTCTAAAACATATTCGATATTTCTTTAGCGAGATTTTTTCATTTTTTATTAATGTAAGATTGTTAAATCAGAGCGCGAGTGAAAGAGTGAGAGAAAAAAAGAATGAATGTCGAAACGATTGATCTATGATTGTTTTGCGCGGTATAAGATAAAGGTGAATACTGCGAATGAAAATGAGTACGGCATAAGATAAGTTTGAAAATAATGAAAATGTGTGTATGCGTGATGAGAAATTGAGAACGTATTAGAGCAGGGCAGAGAGAATAGAGAGCAGTTTGATGACAAAGCGAACAGAGAATAGTTTGATGGCAGAAAGAGAGAGAGCAGAGCAGAGAGTAAAACAGACCAGAGAGAGTAGAGTATAGCAGAGAATCCCAGAATGTGTCAAAAAGCGTTTGAAATATTGAGACAGCGTTGCGAAACAGTTGTAAGAGCGTGCACACTTTGTGTGTATTTTTTTTATTAAACTGTTACTTGTTTTTACCCGATAAATTATCCCACATTAATATTTTTTACTTATTTTACATTTGTAGCATAATTTCTATTTTTTTATATTTAAAAAATATTTAATAATGATGAAAAAGATAATAAAAATTAGAAGCACGGTTGTCGGAGCGCGAGAGTTATGATGAATTATTAATCAATATGTAAAGAACGTTTCGGTCACAATTTTGAGTCGATTATTTGTGCATTAGAAAAATAAATTCTTAATTACAAAGAAACTTACGTGATAAACTGAGTAAACAAACTGCTGCATTTTCTGATGACGCGCGCAGTACGAGATTCCTCTTCCTGAGATCTGGAGAAATCCAAACCGTCGTCCATTTTCCCTTCTTCGTGAAGTACCGCCTGCTTCTCTTCGACTTTTCCAACACCTTTCTTTTTTGTCTCGTATGACTAAACACAAAAATTGCACAATAAATACCATAAAAATTTTATGCATTGTCTACACAAAAATTTCTAAACATATTTTATCGAAATCAAAAAAGTGAATTAAAAATTCATGTCATTTCACTTTATGGTTTACTATTTAAAACTATATTTTTTAAAACAAATTAAATTCTACAAAAAGAAGGCTCGTGTGACAATCTATTACATATAATATAATAATGACTACGGAGCCGTCGCGGTTTTTGGTGCGAAATGTCCCGGCTTAGCCACGCGCGCCTTGATATTTTTTTCGTTTATCCTTCCTTTATTTTCCTTATTTAATTTGTACATTCTTCCTTTGTGAGATGTACTTAAATTTTCATACACTCTAAAAGTATCTCGAACCTGAGATTAGTGTACATTTTAATGTCTCAATGTAGACGAATAAGTTTCAATATGAAAAGTAAACTATTTCGCACCAACAACCGCGACGTCGTCATTTTTATATTATACTTAATTTTTTTATTTACCTTATAAGACACCCAGAGGCACGTGGTGGCATGTTGCATAATAACGGTGGAATCACCGTACTTGATAATCGGCATTCCGATAACTTCCAGATCTTTATCCTCAAGAACGATCTTCTGATCGTCTTTCTCCTGCCGCAGCCAAAACGTCGAGGTTTCTATCGTCGCCTCATTCCTTCAAAAAGAGATAATCACCGATTTAGGAAACATTAACACGAGCTTATAAAGGTCTCTCACCGTGACCCTTGAACTTTTCTAAAAATAAATATTAACCTATCGACCAGATAGAGCTCGTTGTTTTCCTTCACACCGAGGTAACGTCCCGTGGTCAAGTGCCTGATTCTCATAGGATGCAGCCAGTTGATGAAGCCGCCCGCCCATTTCGTCCTGGCGAGCTCTAATCTCCATAGCGATCTCGCTTGGCTCATTACGCTGCCACCTTCATAGATTACAAGGCTGTAAAATAATGAACAAAATACTCAAAAAAACTTTTATTTTCACTTCTTCACTCTTTTAATTACTTCTTCAATTTTTAAAATAATATTAATGTAACGGAACTCTTGTATACATTTTAAAGTAACTACTTTATCGAAATACACAGAATCTGTAATTAAAAGCGTACTTTTGACTGGGTGTTGGACTCCAAGTAGACGGTATCGTCAAGCACTCGTCGCCGCCGTGGAAGAATCTTAACACGTCGCCACCAAAGACATAGCCGACGTACTTCATCCTACTGATACCGGTGCCATAAGGTTGCACCGACCAATGTGTTACATGGAAAGATGCGTTGACCACTGACAAATCGTTTTCCTTTGTCGTGTGCTGAGAAGATACAAAATATTTTTTTTTTGTTATTACAGAGATCATCTTTAAGATATTATTTAAGATATTATTATAGATATTTTAATAAAACGTTGATCTTACCAAATATCGCTCAGTGGCGACGGACACCAAGATAAGATCGTCACCGACACGCACTTTCTCACCCTCCGATCTCTGCTTGGAAGCGGGATGCACAGTCCACCAACACGCCTCACCTGCGAGAAAACTCTAAATAGTACAGAGCAAATTGCGATGTTCTCGCGTTTCTTGATCTATGAAAAGTTTGCCAGCAATGCTACTTTGGAATTTAATTTTAGGCTCAATATTGTTAACGAGTTTCCGCATTTAACTCTCTTACATGTGCCTTGAATTTAAACGACATCTAAGAAATAGTTATTTATAAGCGTTGAACAAAACAACGCATCGCATCGGAGTAGAAATAAATCAGAAGTAGCGTTAACTACAAAAGAATTTATTTAATGTGTTTCACCAACCATGAGAATGTTCCTGTAGACCGACGTCGAAGGCTAGTTTATCGTTCGATGAACTCGTGGACAAACACGCCAGATACTGCGATACACGATTACAGAATTATGCAACCATAAAAAATTAATGTGGCATAATAGCGTATTATAAAGAGAATCAATTTACCATGTCGCTATTTAGATGTCGTAGCAATATGGCGTTACCATATAACAAAGTCCTGTGCCCTGACCCAGTGCCCTTTCCCTAGAAACATCAAAGGATTGGTCAAAGCCCTTGCAATCCCTCGTACACAATAGTATTTCTCTCTATATATCCCGTACGAGATTTTAATATTTCGCAAAATAACAGTTTCTTAGACAACTTCTACAAGCGTACTGATAAGAGAAGGCCATAAATGCTGGTTTTACATTAAGCTGTGATGCGAAGCTCACGAGGTACGTATCAAAGGCAGGCACATTTATTGATCATGATTTTTATCATAGACAATTAATATGTTAGTCAATCAAACGAAAGAAATCAGTCGCTGTTATTAGCCTCAACATACGTTATACTACAGTAATTGAAATTTTTAGCATGATCGTTTTTTAATTTAATTGATCGATGGGTGAAATAGAATCTCGGCATTCAGAAAATGCAACAACTCAATATTACCAGATAATATCACAATATCACTAATATTTTATTAAACAATGCCAAATCTCTGTCGTTGTTTGAATATAAAAATGATACAAAAGCTATTTATCTTAAGAACAGCAAAAGCCAAACTCGAAAAATTAAATAAACTTTTATCCAAGTTCGCATTAGATACGATTTTTATATTAAGCAAATGTAACTTAGAATTATGCTGCATTAGCACTAAATGCGACGCTAAAAAAGAAGACGTGTGCAAACTATCGTGTTTTAAAATTTGGCTGAAACCGCTTTCGCAAGATAAAAGGCTCGTATCTTCACCCAAACTCGATCAAGCGTTACGACGTTTTAGCACACAAACAAGTGATCGTTTTACCCAAGAATGGACACATTACGGCGCCCCACAGACGGTACGTAAATTATACTTACTAAACTGTCTTGCTGCTGCAAAGAGAAACATAAGAGGCAATGAATCTCCTTCATCAAGAGTCAAGTAATATGAATTTGTTGGAGAAAGAAAGTTGGGAAAAGAATATAAATAAATGCATAGAGAATAATATATATGCATGATGTTTTACGATCGATAATGACAGCGGGTCTCGGTTAAGCTTTTAAATGACATTTTTTATGAACTTTTTTCACAATGCTAGTATGTTTCGAGTGATAAAATCACAAGTGAAGACAAGAATATTCAAAGGAACGAAAACGTAATTCGAAATCTGTTTATACGGCTAAATGGACACATGCCACAATCATACTGATAAGGGGTGCGGTGGCGAGGGGGGGAGATGCGTGCGATTGCAATCAAGAAAGCTATTCCGACGTATAGGAACCCTTCGGAAATTAATTGGCGGAAAAATTGAGCAGGCCTAAAAGTCTAAAAGGCATCGTAAAAACATCTAAAAGATCACCCAATTTTCTAGATATCCTTTAAACATTTATCGAATGTCTTTTAGACCTCCGTATTTTGGGGATTGCATTTTTTATATTATACAAAGGGCGCGTTTTATGGCCCACTCCTATGCAGGTCAAACGTGTGTAATAATCTGACATTTGATGACTGAATGAAAAGAGTTTTTAATCGCGAGTTAGGTGATAATATTATTCGACTACCGGATGGAACTTATCGTTCGTATATACTCGCGTGATAAAAAAAAATCCTCTTTTTTAAAAATGAGGTAAACGCTGTTTCTTTTCACAGCGCGTGTGAAGATGTCAAGTAGAGGCTAGAGAGTATTGCCTGGAGCTACGAATTGCGTTGATAAGGCTGAAGTCATACGAGAACCCCTGTACGAGTGTACAATAATTAGGTAGAGAACTTATACGTTACCGTCTCGGAGCCGGCAGCGGTGACCAGTTCCTGCAAAGCTCTCACCGAGAGAGCTTGTTCTATTACAAACACGCATTGCGACAGGTCCGGCGGTATGTTCTGCAAAAAAGTTAATTAAATGGTAGCAACAGCAAAAACAAGATAAAAGAAATAGAAAATTCTCAATTATTGTTACCTTATCCGCGATATTCTCGAGGAAACAGTGTCGATTACCGAAACCCTCGGCCGCCAGGCAGACCCTCTCCCCTGTTGCGGTACAGGACAGACATACCATATCCTCCTGTAAATGTTCGATGATGCCTTTATGAATTTTTTACGCAGTAGCGATCTTTTCTATTTTTTAAGAAAATGTTCTTTCGAATTATTAACATCAAGGCTGAGGAAATTAATTTTAAATCAACTTATAAAATGGTTTGGATTAGATGAATAGATCGTGCGCATTTCACCTCTCTCAATTATTTTATAGTTACAATATCTCAATTATTCTTCATATTACCTTAAAACTGGGAATTGATTTATGTTTTCATTTTTATCATATTTTTATATTATATTTCATTTTGTTTTTCTATTCTGTAATATTTACATTATTTTGAATTGGAGATCTACATTAATTGCACATATATAAATAGATAACAAAAAATTCTGCGTTTTTCTAAAAAATCTCATCACGTAGACATATCTCGCTGATGTTTATTGTGCTGCAATAATGTGCAATAGCGCCAAATGGTTATGCAAGCAGCAGATGGTTCACCAGAAGTCGCGAGTAACAATCTGTATATAAATTGCGTAATATGAAAGTGAAATTCGATAAAGATGCTGACTAACAACACAATCTGAATTCTTTAAAAAAAACCGTTCGTGACACAATGATTAGATTTTGCGAAATTATGTGAATTATGAGCCAAACGACAGAATGTGACTGCTGTGCCAAAACCAATTTGGACGACCTCAAGAACGCACGAGGACCGGGTATACAAATATGCCGGCTTCGAATGTGCTTCGTAATTTTTGGACGCGCCGTATCGAAGAGAGGGAAAAACGGCACCTGTATATATCGCTCGCAACGACGTTATTTAACGCGCTCGCAATAATGTTGTGCCTCAAGAAGCTCGTCAAGTGAGTCACTCAATTTGCGTCGCTCAATTTTAATCCTTGATTGCACAAATTTTTTTTTGCCACCTGTATTACTTTTTAAACAAAATTCTAAATAAGAATTTTATCTGGAATTTCTCAAACTTATTTTCATTAGCATATTATTTGTCACATGTAATTTAAAAAATATTAATTTCTTATAAAAACAATTTTTTTTAAATATTAATTTCTTATAAAAACAATTTTTTTCTCATCTTACGCTGTTGTGAGCAAAGAATTCTTGTAAGAAAAGAGTAATGCAGCATATTTATGCCCTTCAACTTTAAGTAGAAATGTTGGAGAGAAAGAAAAAGTGAACGAATAAAAGTGAATTGTACGCATCTGTGAAAATTTTATGAGCGGCTATAGAAAGTGGAAGTTAACAGGGAAATTGCTTATCTCATTATTTCTGTAATAGTTGTGTCTAGATCAACGGATTCCATTACTTAATTGGTACACATTTATATAAATTATGTCTAATAGGTTGATCGATAAAGTTGCATTGTCGTCAATATTTCCAAGCCCAGTTTTAATGGTATGCATAGTAAATTAATGCAAGAGCTATGATAACCATCTAAGAGTGCCTTATACTTTTCTTTAACACTTTTCAGAACAGAAAAATACCGACGAAACTTCAGTAAAAAATTTCATTATCAATACAATTTAATTATTCTAATAAAAAAGTGTGTGTGTGTGTGTGTGTGTGTGTGTGTGTGTGTGTGTGTGATAAAAAGTTATATATACTATATTATATCAAGAATTAAAATAAATGAAATTCGTGTCTATCAATCTCTGGTACAAAAATGGATAACGTCTGCAACTATAACTCGCATCCGAAACATGTTCCAATCGCGACGTTAATCAATACAGTTTATTGGCAATCAGGAATGTGAAAACAACACAGCTGAGGCAATTATCCGATTATTAGAGTTTAATTGAAATTGATGGCAGAGTTCGAATTGCATCCAAGCCGGCAGTATGTGGAGAAACGAAATTGCCTCACACGACCATATTAATTCTACCTGTGTCACCACAACCGCGTCCGCTCTCGATCTTCCAATAAGAATATCACTCGAGTATAGTCGACGATGTGCGAAGGTATGTGTAATCATCAACGCGCACGCACATCTCGATGTGTCGCTACTCAACTTTAAAAAAATTAATATGCAACGGGGAGGGAAATACATAAATAATGTTGCTTAAAGGACACATTAACATACCTTTCTGCCCGGTTAAACGGAATAGCACGCAAATTGCCTTATGTGTGGTCGTATATATTTGCGCCTGAGACACGCGAGATACCAAAAGTTTCCGCTGGAAATTTGGCAAGAAGACTTAATCTTGTTTATATCGAGATATTAATAAAAGCGCAATCGATCTCATCTCTTAGCGCAAAAGGACGCTGAATTTGCCAACGTTCATTAATAATCGTATGAATAGAATATTCACCAAACTAGCTCGCAATTACAATCTTCGTACAATTCATACGAAAAACGAAAAAATGGAACAAATAAAAATTCTTGATAAAAAATTATTTAAAATATGAGCTTTTTTCTACTATATTTTCAGTAATTATACTTGTATATTCTTTTACAAATGTTGTAATTTCTTTTATTTTGTAATAATTGTTTTTTTTTTCAAATAATCTTAGTACATGATCCTTAAAATATGAATAATTTTACGATTGTACCTAATAAACACGATGTCAGAGATTACGGAAATGTAATTGAGCATTTGACGAATAGACGCACGACGTGTGCATTGATAATGAACCAAATACATCGGTTACTTCCGGTGTCTGAACAACGATCGAAGCTACATATCATGGTGTAGGTCAAGGATACGTCTACATTTTACAAGCAGACAATCTCTATAATTCTGTCACACTGATAAATAACCATAAACCATTTTTACACATGCGCGTTGCATATTTTGGATATTTTATTTTGATATTACAGTTGAAAATATATTTAATAGAATTAGAATCTTTTAATCGGAAGTTTCTATCGGACAGATCTAATAAACTTAACTTTAATTTTTCTAATTTGCATAATTTGATTAATTACTGTTTAACTTCATAATTTATTAGAAAAATCAGCGCTACGCATGTAAACTAATAAGACATTTATTGAATATATTACGAAAAAATAAGCCTTGTGACGCCTCATAGCGTTACCGAGACGGAAAGGGTGAGAAAGGCGTTGATATGCAGTGTAGTGTGCTATATCGTTTGTTGTTCAATACTCGTGCATCTGACGCATGCTGCATCATGGTGAATTAATTATAAATTCATCAGTTTTTGATGCGGCATCACTAATGAAAGCTACGCAAGCCGTATTGATCAGATGGAACAGCGCTGTATCAAATTCTAAAATTAACTAACGTTATTAACTTTGAAGAAGAATATTGATAACATATCGTTGTCTCGAACTTCGCCTAATTCTTAAGCACGCGACGGATATATGATTATGTGTATATGTATATCATAAAATTCCGTCAGCAAACTGCACGATGAATCATCCAATTGTAACTTTCTTCGAGAAACATGTCAGGCAAAATGTGATTAAGAATAATATTAGATTTGCCGAAAGTGTTTTCAGATATTACACATATTTCTTCAATTTTTTATTGCGTAAGGAACGATTTATCTCGCGCGTAATCTAAAAATTATATTTTAAGTATTCATTATTTACAAGTTTTATAAATCATAAATCATATTAATTATATAAATTAGACATATTAGACAAATTATAAATCATAGTAACTAAAATTGAAGATAATAATTTTCCTGTTTTGGCTTCATTAAAAGGCAATTTCCTCAACGGAACTAAAAACAATTACAAACCATCAAGTTTTGAACGCAACTTTGCATGAAATTAACTTTATTACAATAGTGCATACTTCATATTCAGCCTACTGATAAAATCAGTGGCATTGCAATATTGATAATCGATAAGACTACGATCGACTATTCACGGATATGTTAAAGGAGAGAATAAGTTCATAAAACTTCAAATGTTTCGTGCGGGCGACATTTTTCGTTCTTTTCGACACACGTCAAATTACCAAGTAAAGATTGTACCATAAAAACGGCAGAAAACCTGGATGAACCTAACATTTACGGAAACGTATTTAATAAAAGCAGGTGAGCGATATTCCGCGTCTTACAGTCGGACTTCCCTGTATAATTTATTCGGTGGAAAAATAGCCTGTCGAACGGCGCAGATATGACTTTTCACGTAGAAATGCGAACGACCCTTTTCTTGGCATCGAGCCCGACTGATTTCATATGGCACGTTATCGCGACGCGAATTTAACAGAGATGTACTTAACACGCGATTTCACCACATCGATTCAACAAGAACATGAAAGGCCGATTAATCCTGCAAACAGATAGTCGCGGTCGTATCAATCAGTGAAATCTCACAGGCAAACAATCGACTTTGCTATATACTCTTTCTTGTATTCTTATGTACTTCATAGTCATAAATTTGCGTCATAAAAAAGCTGAGTTATGTACCAATCTGTCATTTGTAAGTTACTTAAAAGAACTGGAAATTTTTCGCGAGAATTGATAGTATTTCATTTGCTTCGATTGAAAGTAATATATATATTATAGTGAATATTTATTAAATAAATACATATATAAATAGTGCGTACTTTAAAAAGATTAAATATTAGTTAATTTATAAATTGTATATATTACAATTTATAAAATAGATAGTAACAGATTATACAATAAGATATAACGAAATCAACGAAAATTCGCAGACGTATTAACCAAGAACCAGATAAAGAGATGGGCGAGCCCAAAGAGCAGAATGATGCTGAGAAAGCACGTTCTGATCGTGACAGACGAAGAAGCGAAAGAAAAAAATCGGGATGCTCTTGCCGCAATAAAGCCAGTAGAAAAAATAGACCAAGAATTCTCTCGCAAAATCCCTTTATTATCTTCTTTCTCGAGATGTACTTCAAGACACCCGACAAGCATGTGACGGAAGTCGCTCGAGAGGCTGGCAAAGCATGGTGCGCTATGCCCGAGGAAGAAAGGAAAAAGTATATAGTACTGGCAGAAAAAGAAAGACAGCGAAGACGTAATGCGAAGATGGGAAAAAACTGCCGAAGCTAACGAAATTAACGAAATCCATCTTCCGAATGCCAAAGATTAAATGCTCCGAAGAATAGCTCTCAGTAACAAGCATCGATAAGAGGCAAGAGATATTTGTGAAAAATCATGGAACACGTAAAAAATTAAAAGTAACTAAAAGAATAAAAAAATATATTAAAAGCTTTCGATATATTTATTAAATTTATTAAAATATTTCTAGACTTTATTTTTAATTTATTCCAAGATTGTGGTAAAATATAATTTTCAACACATTATTATGTGTATATATATAATACAACTTTAGAATTTTAAAGCCCCAAGCGTTTTGGATAAAACTAAAAAAGAACAAACACGAAGGTCATAAAATGGAATACACGCGATATGATATAATTCGTGAAGAATTTTATGTGATAAATTTAATATTTTTGAAACTTTATAATTTGTAATTAACTTTTAACCTTGTTTTTATATATTATTAATAAATATATTTTTAATTAAAGAGTCGAGAAATAACTTTAAGATACAGCTACAAATAAATAACGAAAAATACATGACAACTTACTTATGACAAATTTATTTATTATAAAAGAATATATTTATGTTTAAGTCTAATATGAAAATTTGCGTGTACGTTTCACAGTAAAGTAATTAAACTTTTTTTTAGATAAAAAAAGCAATGCAAAATGAGCGTAATGGATTAAATACGCAAGCGTTAAATACGCATAATGAATTAAATACCCAGACGAAAACATTGTACCTTGACCAGTAGTACGACCAGCGCTTGATCCCACAGGTCGAACGAGGTCAAGGTTGTGCTACAAAGAACTTTAAGTGCTTCCACGTTTCACTAAAATCTTACGCGGTTTTTTCTTTCCGCAACTCTCTACATAAGAAATTGCACACGCGAGCGTTCCTAAGTTGAAACAAACGTTGACAGTTTTTAAATGGTACTTGAACATTTTGAACGTTACTTTCTGTTATGAATCATAACGCTCTGTCAATATACCTAATGTTAGAAAATTAACAATATATTATGATGCAATTACATTTAAAGACAATAATGTGATTAATTTGACTAACTTGATCACAATACTTGAAAAAATATCATAAATGCAACATTATGCTCTGATGTTACTACCGTTCTGCGGCATCAATGGATTATGCGTAATACACCGGTCCGCTTCACAATACATAGTTTACTTCTTATGCAAGCAAAGTTCCATTGGCATTCATTCATTTTCGCACATCACCGTCTCATTGAATTACTTCTCTGTTTACGCGCATTTTTCGCGAACACATTTGTGAATACATTTGCCGGCCTCAACTTCTTTTAAATATATGGATAACGATTGTACAACTTTTATACCGCATCTATCATCCATGTGAATCTCGTGGAACGTCAATAAAAATATCTGATTAACTACGGGCTTGTTAATGACAAAATTTTATTAAAACATCAATATTAATAAGTAGTTTATATAACTCTATTTTTTGCTAAATAATAAAATGGACTTATTAAACAGAAAACAAATGCCAAGTAAGTTATTTATGAAAAACACATTGGCACAAATTCTTTTCTTAACGATCTCTCCGTATTTGACAACAATTGTTCTAGCATCTCATTAATTATAATAATTCTCTTTGCACTTCAGTGTAGTCTTTTGAATCATCTTCTTTGCATCTCTAAAGATAAAACCTTACAGTGCCAATGAATCTGGCTTGTACGAGCTTTTCGATCTGCTCATGTTTGATTATAAAATCCCCGGCATTAACCTTAAAGCCGGTGATCCTCTTCTGCCGTGCGATTTTAAAACATAAGCTCGCCCATTGGCAAAATGAGACTTACCGTGCGGAGGAATGATACGTCGTCCTGCTCGGAACCACCCTCGCTATCAGCCATCCTCTCAGCACGCGACGAGCTTCCTCTGTTTGTGTCACTTCCACGCGCTCGTACGCGTGACGCGAGTATGCGTGCGTGTCTCGCGTGTCACTTCGCGCCCGAGGCACTTTTATCGATAACGAAAGGGATGGTCATGCACAGTCTCGTGTGGTCGGCATGTTCTCGTGTTGCTATCCTGACACGCAGGGCCTCGGCCTCTTCGTCTCGTCGACGAAGACAACGACGACGACGATGGTGATGCCGACGTCGACACACTAACCGTCGTCGTAAACCACCGACGACCACCCACTGCTAGTCGAAAGGCACCCAGACCGCTCGCCGACGTATCTCGCGCACGCGCTTGGCACCTTCAATCAAATATCGAAATTCCTTTAACGCAAAATCCCCTATCATGTAAGCGTATTACGCGATTTTTGCATTATGCGGTTGTCTTATTGTAAAATATTGTCGGGATATTTTTTTAATAAATTTGAATAATGCTACAAGAGGTGGAGATAATATATTTCAGAGATAAAGAACGTGTTGTGTGATAATAACTCAAAAGCAGTTTATAGTCGAGTATATAAATTGAAATAACTTTTTAACAAACTTCTTTTAAAACTTTTTCCTTTAAATTTTATATATTTTATTTTTATATAAGAAAAGTCTACTCGATTTTACTTTAATTCAAACAAACCTATCTTTGGAAAAAAATACGCAATGCTAGGTGCAACTTTGATTAACATTCATGTATCAATTAAAATTATGAATGATGTACAATTGGTGAAATATGTGTATTTCAGCAATTTTGTGATCGCGCCAAAATAGTTTCAAGCAAACACATCTCTTTTTTGCGCGATAACAGATGCGAGAGTTTAAACGTGAGTCACTAAATGAGTAAATGCTTCGTCAGATTACGTGACAGAATTAGAAAAGGTTTTGAAAAGTAAAGCAGTTAGAAATTGAAAGTGGAGCGTTCAATTCACGACTATTTCGACCTAATTCACGTGTATTAATCCATTATCATTTGACATAATGGCTTTAATCTGAGTATAACGACCGGAGATACTATTCTATCGATTTAAAATTACCGATGTTACTGCACTGAGCGTAAGCGATGAATATAATATAATGCGTTGACTATAATACAAAGTTGAACCACTTAAACGCTAGTCGGAATTATCGTAATGGTTCTACTAGGAAGAGAGAGAGAGAGAGAGAGAGAGAGAGAGAAAAAGCAAGCTTTTAATCTATAGCAGTAATATAGTAGTATAGCAGTAACAGCTGTTCAACATACAGCATTAATAAGCAAATTATATACAATTTAACGTTTAGAAATATTTAATATATTCATTTATAACGCATGAAATTTTTTACTCTCTTCAACAAACGTGCAAATGTACGCAAACTCCAATTTGACAATTACATTGTAATACATCGATATCGAAAAATATACGTCCGGTTGGTTTTACCCTTCGAGAATCTATTTCCAGCAATGCGGCAGAAATAGATGCATCCGCGATGATTTACCAAAATATCCACATACGCTTAGAAAGACTCGACTCCACATTACCACGCTTAATGAATTAATCGAAGGTTAAGGATGTCTTGGAAAACACGTGGTCTTGCAAAAAATTTTTCAAATACTCAGCTACAATCAGAATATATTATATATCACAAGTGTGATGTCAATTTTAATAATCAACTTCAAAATCACTTTGCGATGAATTAAATAAAAATTTCTCAGAAAGTCGATAAAATCTCTAACACCTTGTGTTCTATAAATATTTCTTGTATATTTATCCTTTGCCGCGACATTGAACACTTTATATTGAAAACAACAATTTTTATCATTACTTTTACAAATATTATTTAATCATAAAATTGTTAAAAAACAATAATAAAGTGCTAATTTCAATGTCTCAGATTTTTTATAAAATAATTGTAATAACGTATAATAATAAAAAAACGTAATAATGGACTTATGTTATAAAATTATTTTAATTTCATGATGTTGAATAAACAAATCTTAAACGGGTTAACTAAAGTATTAGAATGTTTTTTAAATATTTTTATGGCAACTTTTCTGCCGTTTGGCAGAGCTATTCCAGAAAACAGCATTGCATAAAGAATATAAAACCGAGTTTCTAATTTTAGGATAAGAAAAGTACACGACTGTCTGTTGAATTGAGGACTCCTTGCTGAAGTGCTGAAGAATGCTAATTTAAAATATTAAAAAGTATATTAAGCTTATTTAAGAAGTAATTGGTCATTTATTGATTAATATAATTTATTAATGCCGTCTGCATTTATTAATCAAGCTCGTTTTTAGGAATAATTTCATAATTATATATTTAGTGTTAGCTACACATAAAAGTAATACCGTACATTCACGATGTTTTTTGATGATATTCCAAGTTCATCGAATAACTGAACAAGATTCACACATTCATAGCACTCCAGGGAATTATTCCGCAAAATTAGCTAATTAGTCAAGAAAGCGAAATTATCACGCAAACACTGTAATTTTTTAAAATATATCACACGTCACTTAAAGCATCCCGCACGTACATATATGCGCGTACACATACATTTTAGATGTAATAAATAAAATGCGCGCTGCAACTTATAATTTTATTTTCAAAGCATCCGCATCAGCGCATATCCGAAGGAAGAAAAAAAATTAATTCCGACACTTATCGCGAGAAGACTCACCTCGGTAACACTTCACTTCGTCACAAATCAGCGAATTCTCGAATCGTGTATTCGTCTTACGATCTCGCGCAGGGATTCGCAAAGGTGCACACCTCGTCGTGCACCGCCCCCGCGCGAGAATGTAAAAGGTCGGATATTACGCGCTCGATCGAGGGCTCCTTCAGGGTGTCGAACCTTCACTTTCTTGGCCACAAGAGATTTGGACCCCCGCGACGAAATTTCTGTCGAAGCTCGAGGAGCTATGTCGAATCGAGCGGAGCAAGAGCGAGCGGCTCTCCGGCGGCTATTTTCAGCCTCGAGCCGAGCGAGCACCGCTCCGCTCCGCGCGTTTCGCTTCGTGCCTGAGAAACTCTTAGAGACCTACGATACTGATATCGAGAAATCATTTGAGAACCATCAATAATCATAAAAAATAAGCAAATTCTAAATCAACAGAAAACTTTTTTTATTACGTATTCGTTATTTTCAGTAAATTGTTATGGATTCCAAAGAAGTCTCAGAAATTCAAAAGAGCAATGCTAATGTCATTGTAAGATTCACAATAATCAATCACAAATCTGCAAAACATAAGCAACATAATAGAAAATGATTTCAGGATTTGGATTTTATATAAACTTCAAAAAATATTATTTAGCACACTTATTCTAGAAGTTTTATGTTTAACATAATTTTATTATTGTACGCTATGTCATGTAAAATCAATTTATTGTATATTAAAGAACAACATTTGAATAAAATAAAAAGGTATAAAAAATTTGTTATATTTATATTACAATACAATCTAATGTTTGCTTGGATACAGCGCATATAAGTTTTAAACACATATTATTAGTTCAATAAATTAAAACAATCATTTCTTTTTAATACATTATACAAAGATCTTGATAAGTGTTTTAAAAAATAATTACAGAAAAAAATCAAATAGTATATTTATACTAATAATAAACTTCAAATTATATTAAATAAGAACAGCAAAATTTTTAATTAAGAATTGTCAAATAAAATCTATCAATGTTAGGTTCATCACATTCTCAAGTTACAGCAAATGACTATTATAATCTTGTAGTTCGTCTTTGTTGCCACTAGTGTTTGCCAAGATTTTCAATCTAACGTATCGTTTTCATAAGCAAATCAAACGACAAAATCAATGATCAAAAAATCTTACAAAGGTAAAAAAATACATCAATTACATAAAAAAATATTCGTGTGTACAAAGTTTCTTAATTATGTGCTACAAAAAGAATTATTAATTTTAAAAATATATTAATTGAGAATGTTAATTAAAATGCATAAATGCTTAAAAATAGACATTAAATCAATGCAATTAATTAAGTATGTAATGATGCATTATCAATAAATACTATAATTGGCATTAATGTAAGTGATAAAAAGCTTTTTTTTATAACGCAATTTTATATGATCTATAGTCCAAAGAATTTATTGCAGAATTAGCTTCATTATTTTTAAACATATTATTTTTGCAAATTTAATTATAAATAAACAATTAATACAACTGATAGGCATTTTACAAGCATTTTCGGTTTCTTACGATGTCTTATGGCTGGTTTATGCTTCGGTCTTAATTTTAATCTTAGTCATAAGCCGAGAACACAAGCTTTTACATAAAGCATAACGCATAAGCATAAGGAAATTGATTGGTCTATATATAAGCATAAGCAAATGCATAAGGAAATGGACCAATCAATTTCCTTATGCTTATGCGTTATGCTTTATGTAAAAGCTTGTGCTCTCGGCTTAAGACCGAAGCATAAACCGGCCATTATAGATTGCGAATAATGTTACTACGGCTTGAAATTTACCGCCATTAGTTTCTGGAATGCGCAGAAGTCAATGTCAGCTGACGTGTCTTGATAGGAGCAGCCGACAGAAATATCATTTATCTAGCGTCGTATAGTTTTCCGTTTATTTTCGCTATTAGGTTAACGTTTCAACAAATTATAAAATAATGTTGGGAAAAATAAAAACAAAGCAAGAGAAAAGTGGCGGTAAGCAAGAAAATTATCTTAAGAATGAATATAACTGCGTCAAACGGTGAAAAGTTGTGAAATATTATAACGATCTTCTTTTGAAGGTTATGTTTGTTATTTATTTGCTGTTCAGACACTATAAGAAATAATTAATTAATAGATTGAATCACAGTTTATCTGATTATTTCGCGAAATAATATATAACAAACTGTAATTATTTTATTACACTTGGATGAAATACTTATAGAAATACTTATACTAATAAGCTTTATGTCTCTAAGCAAGCTTGTACATTCTTGCATTAATTAAAATATTGCTGAATAATATAAACTATTAACTGAAATAAATTAAATATGATGACATGTTGCAGAGATCATAGCATATAGTGAAGCAGCAGTTGTAAATAATGCTGCTGTTGTAGAATATTGCAAGATATCAATGGCAGCTTTGTCAGGTGGTACAGCTGGTTTGTTAGGATTGACTGGATTATACGGATTTGGATTTTATATCTTTGCAGTTTTTGGGCTATGGGTAAGTTTTCTCCAGCGATATGTAACAATAATTGTATATGGTGCAAACAACTTTACATCTTCATAGGCGATGCTATTGATGAAAGCTGGTGGCCAATGGAAAAAGTATTTTATTAGCAGACGGCATCTTTTAACAAGCGGTTTCTTTGGGGGTCTTTGTGTATCCTTTAAAATTGACTATAGAATAGAAATAAATTGTCTTTTCAGAGACAAATTTATTTTCCTTGACAGCGATTGTTTTTCTACAGACATATGTATTATTCTGGACGTATCCTTTCTGTAATATAAATAATGGAAATATGTATTATTATAATGGAAATAATATATATTTCCATATATGAAAATAATAATATATGTAATATCTATATTATTTCTATTGTTATAAATTTCTTAACAATTAATATAGATTTTTATATGGAATGGTTCATGTCTACTAAGGAAGAAAATAGCGGGTGGCAGCAATTTAATAAAACAATTATATAAATATATAATATTATAAAGTTAGCATGTAATTATATATTGAAATCGTCGTATTTACTTTAATTTAAACATTTCGGATATTCATCACCAAATAAACGTATACATTATATAAATATGTCTATATGTACATAGAATATAAATTATGTAATAAAACAGTTGCATTTTTTAGATAAAAAATAGGAAGACAATATGAAAGGCAGAAAAGATATGACTGGCCACATTCCTTATTTGCATAATAAATTATTAATTACATTGAGTGATAATTGTTTAGTGAGATTATTCTGTATATGCAACATTTAAAAACACATTAAATAATTGATTACCTTTAATTACTATCCCTGAAACAATATATTTATAAATTATTTACGGGATAATATATATTTTTTTAATATCGACTTTTTTAAGTGTTGAGGGTCAGTTTCTTTTGTATTAAATATATCGTGCAACGGTATACTATGTGCATCTTATATTTTTATTTTACTGTACATTAAAATTCTTTGATAATTCAAAGTAGAATTCTCGCATACTAGGAAAAAATAAGAAATTGATATACAATTTTCATTATTTTGTACTTAACATGCTCACGTTTCTACTTCAGTATTTAATACTTCAATTCATTCACTACTGCTAACGCGCGCTACAAACAAAGTCGCTTATTTATAAACGAATGAATAAGTATTTTATAACTGTCGGATAAGGCTTTCTACATACTCTAATTCACTATTTTACACTGTTGCACTTGTATCATAATAAAAGTATATATACTAGAGTCTTAAATATATGGAAGCATAGAAACTCCATTTTTATCGCATGTCACTTCGTTAATTTTCGCTAATTGTAAGTTATTACATTTGAAAATCTGCGTATCATTTATGAATGATATACACATGTGTACGTACGCACATATTATGCGCATAAGCTATTACATAATTACTGCGTCAGCTGATCAGTTGATCAGTGGTAGTAAATCGAGCAAGGATTACATGTTTTGTCGATTAATTCCAGCCTAGATCAAGATATGATCATTATCAATAACAAATCATTAATCTTTGCATAAAAAAAGTTACAGCAAACAAGTCTCGTTCGAAAGATGAGAGCTGACATTTCTAGTAAGCCCAGAATCATTATTCTTGGATAATTGCTTTATGATGTGTTATCGATTAATTACAAAAATAAAATTAACCCTTTCGATACGGTAGTTGCGAAATAGTCGCTATCGATTGACGAGTCGAAACTATAAATAAAACGGCGAACAAAATAAATTTAAAAAAAATAGTATATATATGTGTATATATATATATATATATATATACACACACACACATATATACATATATACACACCTTCCGTATCAAAAGAATTAATAGTCATATATTTAAAATAGTAATAAAATAATAATATAAAGATTTAAATAATGTTTTATATATACTCTGTCGTTGTGTCAAACTTAACACTTAACTTACGGGGAAAACTTGGTTTCGGCAGTGAAAATCAATCATATTACACACATATACTTACATAGGAATAAATGATAGTTGTGCAAACTAACAAATAACATTCCTGACGAAATAATAGCGTTATTTGCTAAAAAAAAATTTAAATTTTTGTCTCGGAAGTTTGCTCCTGTAAGATTATCTCTTCTTTCTGGCGACTTCCAGTGGCCATCTCAAAAGGGTTTCCGGTTTCTAAACCTTCCAATCTGCGTTCCTCGTCCATTTTATCCAGTTCTGCCTTACTTAAATGATAAACTATTCCAGCTCCATAACCGTCGCCCAAAACATTGATCGAGGTCCTGATCCGATCTCTGAAAACGGAGCGATTGCTGTAGTTTACAGAAAAACAATAATAATAGCGTGCAACTTACAGCATCCAATCGATGGCGAATAAAAGTGAAACATCGTTTGTAGGCAATCCCAGAGCAGTTAGCACTAACAGCATGGTTACTAATGCAGCACTAGGAATACTTGCAGCTCCAATGCTCGCCAAAGTAGCAGTAAGACTATAAAAAATCAAAATAAATCTCGGAAATGGATTCTCTTTATAAATATAATGTTATAATTAATTAGAATCAGAGAAAAAGAGATACTACGAATTCTATATAAATTGGATATACCTGACGGTAATGACTTCAACGAAACCGAGTGAGATTCCATTCAGTTGTGCGATGAAGATCGCAGCTACGGCTTCGTAAAGAGCCGTGCCATCCATATTTACAGTGGCACCCACTGCTACAACAAAGCGTGTCACACGTGGATCGATCTTGTTGTTTTCTTCGAGACAACGGAAAGTTAAGGGCAAGGTCGCTGCGCTATAATAATAAATCCATTTATCAGTATATCATTATTATAAAAAATATTTTACAATTTTTCAATTACATGTCAAAGAGTTAAATTTTGTATCTAATGCAATTGATGCAAAATGGATTTGCGAAAGATTTGACTTTGAAATAATTTTTTAATTTATTTTTTACTATATTTAATTTTTTTGATTGTACTAAATTTAATTACAATCGCAAAAAAATTAATTGAGTATTTCTTAAAAATGCTTGCAACATGTATGTACGCGACGTCATAAATGTACTTAAACGTCATAAATGTTACGTTACAGTATTTTAAAAAAATCGATAGTTACCTTGAAGCCGTACCCAACGCCATGACCCAAGCTTGCATCATGCCTCTGAAGAACACTGCTGGATTTTTTCGAGTCATAAACCAATAGATTACTGGTAACGTGATAATGGCATGGATCATCAACCCCAACACAACTGTCACCATGTATAGACCCAACATTTGGGCAGTTGCCGCCAGATTGGCGATCGACATGATTTTTCCAGCTATCAGACACATAATTCCGAACGGAGAATACCTGCAGCAATTGTCAATTGTATAAAAGAAAATCAAGGAATCAAAAAGAATAAAAAAAAAAAAAACTTTACTTTAAATTAAAATCGCAAATATAAAATTGGATAGACATCTTTTGTACTTTTAATTATTACATATTTTATATAAAAAATAAAAAAGTAAAATTATCTCGTGTAAAATTATAAAATATATTAAAAGTAATAGAAGTAAATAATACGTGCAGTCTGCGCGATCGCAGTTTTTATTGATAAGGTAACCATATTACCATATATTATTCCAGCATTATTTCGTACCAGACTACGACAATCGTGACGAGCTTCATGATAATGTCATTCAGCACTACAAAAAAGTCCACCATCAGCTTGCCGCGGGGTCCTATCTGGCCCGCCAGCACACCAAAGATGATGCAGAACACGATCATGCCCATCACATTCGTGCCGTCTTTATAAACCAAGGTCGGCTCCAATATGTACTCGCTTTGATTCGAGCTGCCGATCACGAACACCTTCTTCCTCACGTAGGAAGTTTGAACCTGCTGGAAGCACGCTTGCACCAGGTTCTCCGGTACCATATTTCTAAAAACAAAAGATTGCGAGTTTCGAACATGAATTACGATGATATGAAGCTACTTTTTCATACCGAATTATATCGAGGATCGCGTCTATAGTGGAGACTTTCGTCTCCTCAGCTTTCATCACCGCCGCGACCGTGCTCTTGATGTGTGGATTACCCGGATGGATCATGAGCACCATAGCGATACCCACTATGGCAGCGAGAATAGTCGTCACCGAATAATATGTTAGCGCTCTGACACCTATTCTTCCTGATCTTTGAACATCTAGTTGTGCCATTCCTGCAATGAATATTTCGCTCGAATTCAAAACTATATTGGCTAAAATAAAGGCAAATTGGAAAATAAATTTTAAGCACACAATATAAAATTCTTATGTTTAAAATGCATTTTATAATTTTTAACATTTATTGAATTAAGTTTTTTACTTTCTTTTCTCTTTTTATTAGTTACTTTTTTTGTCATCAATCGGATTGTTGAGAAACCATAGTTACCAGCGATAAGCGAGGATATGATGAGTGGTAGGATAAACATCTTCAGCATCCGCATAAGGATCTCTCCCGGAAAACTGACGAGGGTTATAGACTCCGGTGAAAGATCAGCCAATCGGCCCAGAAACCCGAGAACTAGACCGACCAAAACTCCAGCAATGGTCAGTGTCAGGAGCAGGTTACTTCCCATCCATTCTATTACCTATATTCCCCACAATGCGCAATAGAATTTAATCTCACTTGTCTCTTCAGACTGTCATTTATCAGGACTTTTCAAAAAATTGATATTTTTATATAGTCCGATCTTTTCAATAAAATCGATAATTGATTTTTATCGCCATTTTTTACGATTATTTTTATCATGAAGTTTATTAAGAGATTGAAATAAATATTAAAGAAGCTGTGTGGCACATTTCAAATTTTATCGGCATGTATTTAATTTCAAAAATATGTACCATTTGTAGCCTGTCGAGCGCCGTTACTTTGTGCTGCTTTTCGATCCCGATTTCCTCCTCGGACGTCATCTTCTCGATCTCCTCTGTACACGATCTGGAAAGCATTCCAGATGAAAAGGAGTGCACGGTGGCTTCGGATAAAAGTGTGACAAAATCTTTTACGTGTGGCCGCCCTCCTTGACCTCTTTCGAGGTTCCCCGGAGCACAGCAACTGCGCCGGAAATACGTTGCCCCAAAGACATCCTTCAGTCTTCAAAAGCACGTCGCTTCAAGATTTCGTGATTCAAGATCTCTTTTTCCGTAGCACGAGGAATGTCGAGCTGGATCTTGCTTCATCCCGCGGCTTTTATGGCTGTGTTGCGCCTTTCCACGATGTAAATCATTTCGATTTGCTCAGATACTAACTGAGATGTCCGCAATCTGGATTATCGAGTATAAAAGGAATGTATATTTGCTTTATTTTATGGTACAATATTATTGTCAATAATTTAATTAAGTTACTTGCAATTAAATATTATTCAGATTTCAAATATTAAATAAATAAATACTTTATTCTTTGCATTTTTTAGCTTTGCGGAAGCAAAAGAGGATAAAATGACAAAAATAACCACACGCACGGTGCTTCAACCTAAGAAACTTCCACAGCCGTAGAAATGCTTTATAAAAATCCTCGAGTTATCCGGAGTATCCTAATATTTTGCTTATCTTCTAGTGCACTTCTTTATGTTCGAGAATCAAACTCCGTAAACGGATATTTTTTTTCGCGGACGATTATCAAAGCACGTGCGAATCGTTCGGTAGCGCATCGCGATACACGACGATCTTCTCTCGCAAACCACCGAGAACCATCAGGTCAGGCTGCACAAGCGCACGAAAGCTGGCCCCGAGGACACGATGGGGTAAGGCCCCGAAAGAGGTCACACCCGATCTATTACATTCAGGATCATTGCACCGCGCTGTTGCGGGCGCGAGTGACATCCGCAAGAGCTTCCGATGAGCTTTTCGCGCGCGCGATCGACTGTCGAGATCTGATAGATTTGAGCTAGGTATCGCCCACCGCGATGTTGGGATCTGCCTGCAATCAGGCAGATAATGTGCCCCATCCAGGAAGCTGATTAGTGCGCGCGCCGAGGGAGACCCGGGGAAGCGAAAGAAGCGCACCGAAAGGGGGAAAAGAGACGCGCGGGCAAGTGGACAGAGATGCTTCGGGGAGAAAGAGAGATCGGTAGATCACAGGAAGAGGGTACTCATTGCGACTGGTCGCACGGCACCGAATAATAAACGCCGAAGGGAGAAAAATGCCGCTGCACAGTTTCGCAAAAATCGTCGGTTCGATCGACCCAACCGCCGATACATCGTTACTCAACATTGGTGAACGAAGGTGAACCGAATCAGAGAGAGATAAAATGAGAGCGAAATGAGACCACATAACGCGAGATGAATCTTCAACAGTGACGTCGAAGCCTAATGAGTGAATGTTATCTCTTAATAATTCATAAGAGCCTACATCAGATCCGGAAGACGTAATGTAAAATCGCGGAATGCTACAATTTATATCGGGCTGTACAAACACTGGCAAATAAAGTAAATAATTATATTTTGCATCTATTAAATCTGTATAACGAATAATAAGATTCCACCATAATATAATATAAATAATAAAGCAGCGATCCAGCAACAGGTGTTCCTATGACATAATGATACATCAATAATCATTGATAAGGTTTTTATCAGAGTTATTCTATCTATAGCACTCTATTTAAAGCATACGTTACAATATGAACTATTATTAATCACGGAATAATATTTACTTGAAATTATAGATTTTTAATATAAAAATGGCAGTCGTTCGCGAAAAAAGAAGACAGTTACGCGGAAATACTTGCACGTGATTGTTTTAGATGCATGTAGGATACGACCATTTACAAGACCCCTTTGTATATCCGTTGGGAAGTAACCTAATTCCTCTAGCAATGACGGCTATGAGTGACTATATATAGACTAACATCGAGTTCACGGTGGTAGTATAATACGAGGACAAATCAAATCCCCCCATGATAACGCATTTAACATCAAGTAACATCCAAACGAAAGAGCGAATCTCAAGATGAAATTAATAATGCGCTCAGGAAAATCAAATTACAATTGTCGTCGCGCGTGTATTTTATCTGCATAAATTTTATTTTGTTAATAACATGATCTATCCATTTAGTCTTCTCTCATTTGTCTTCCTTTGACTCTGTTTCTTAAAACAAAATATAAATTAATTAAAGTTAGAATTGCACAATATATTACAATATTTTATGTAAAGTGTAGTTTATAACTTTTACAAGTTTTATCTTTCTTACATTTTGATTTATTCAGTACAGAGAGAGTTAACAATTTAACTCAATGTTTTTTAGTTAATTAACTTACAAAAACTTATTTAAATATTTTATTTAAATAGAATGCTATAGATAGAATAACTCTGATAAAAACCTTATTGATGATCATTGATGTATTATGTCATAGGAACACCTGTTGCTGGATCGCTGCTATAAATTAATTAATTAATTAATTATATGAAATTAATTAACTCAAAATTATCTATAAAATACAAAATATAAATAGCGAATCTATTATGAAGTTAAAATGTGCTTTTTTAACACATAATAATTCATAAACATTCTCGATTTGCATGTGTCTGCCATCAAGAGCACCAATACAATTAGGAAATTGCCACTTCAACATATATTCCTCACTTATTTTTCTCCAGCCATCAGCATCTAGAGTGGGAAGTACAAGTGGTTGCAGGGCACGCCATATAGCACGACAAACTTCTGGCACTATTTTGCAGACCGTAGATTTCCCAACCCTGAATTCTAGATGCTTTGTCCGCATGTTCCCTCCTTGAGCAAGATACCTATACCAAAACAAGATATAAGGTCTGTTCTGCACAGAGTTTATCTTTTTCCTTCCAATGTAGAGGGAAAAAGATAAACTTTGAACTGGTGCAGCGAATTCAGCTATAAAGAACAGACCTATTAATTAATATCAGATAGAGTACGTGCCTAATTTTTAAAATGCAGAGTTGATTTGTACTTACGTCAAGGTCAGGCTCAAACAAAGTCTGGGTGAAAGAAATGTCCGGATGCTGCGCTTTTCGAGATATGGACGCACTAAATTGAACAAGAATTTAAACTGCTCCGGCCACATCTGCGTATACCCGAAAAATTCTTCGTCATCGCTGATAATCAGCTCGCGAAATAGGTTAAAGTTGAAATCCTGATCACGTCTGCGCCTGTTCACGGACCGTATCCACCACCTCCGACCAATATGCCTTTTCGTCTGAACAATGCGTCGTTGATCAATCTGAAGCAGGCTCCATAACAGCATAAATAATACAACAAATTCAAGTTTTCGCAAATGATTGCTACTACGCCGCAATAATTTGTAATTCACCGCCTGCGTATAAACGGATGACGTTTGTCAACGTTGATTGGCTCATTGTAATCCTTACTACACGCCATTGGGCTTGTTCGTTTTAGCTGCACTGGGGCAGCTCTGGGTCTGCTCTAAACAAAATAATACAGGACAAACTATTTATCTGTCCTGTATTATCCTGTGTAGAGCAGATCCAGAGCAGCCCCAGTGTAGCTAAAACGAACAAGCCCATTGTAGACACTCGGGCGTAAAGAGGCCTTAGGCCGGCGTCACATAGGCCGGTATTCATAGTCCGTTCTTATATTTAAGATTGTCTTAAGCACGGACTTATATTCGCTCTCTTCGTCACACATAGATTGTGTCTGACGAAAAGAGCGAATATAAGTTCGTGCTTAAGACGATCTTGAATATAAGAACGGACTATTAGCGTTTTCGATTATACAGGATTTGAACGACCCAGGGTTGATCAATCACTATTTTACTA